CATTGGTATCAAAAAGTCCCTTAAATTGACTGCATAGATTTATGTTAGTGTGGATCATAGTTCCTGCTTAGGGGAACAGCCAATAATAATAGATCCCAAAACCATCAAACCATTGGGAAGACTCCTAGAGAGGGGGAACATCCATAAGCTGATGTGTAGGTTGGCACCAGTGACATAATCATAGACTGATGAATTCGAATTTGTCAAAGGATATTTTTATAACTTAAGCTACTAATACTACTTGCGTTTGTGCTACACTTTTATAAAGGGGGCCTTGATAAAAGTTTTGTGGATGAGCCTGCCCTCTTTTTGTTACGCTACTGGTTCGTACTAATCTCTTGTTCCAGCAGGGGAGGATCATGAGGTATATAATATGGGACTAATAAACATAGTAATTCCAGAAGCACAGAAACATGAAAACACTAGCTAAGTAATCAAGAACTTAAAAGGCTAATGTGATCTCCACTCAACTTTCTCCTGAATATAAATTTGCCAGAATAAATGTTTGAATAATTTTGCTAAGTAAATTTTGTTTCTATCAAATAATTACATGCAATTAATTTATATGAATGCCCACATTAGAACTGAAAGTTTTACATAATTCTTATGAATTATGAATAATTTTCTCTACTATGAAAGGGGGTTAGAGCTGTTTAAAAGGAAATTCATGGAGACTGAAACGGCCATACTGAAATCAAATATTAAAATTACTTTCTAAAGAATATAGGTATATCAAAAACATGGAAGAGATTGATCACATTCAAATTAATAATTTTTATTTTTTGAAAGTATGTAGTGGAGCCCAGTTATTTTCTGAGTAAACTTAATGCATTCGTTTTACAATACAAGACTCCAGCATAACCTGCATTCTGCGAGTTGAGGCAATTGAAATGTATTATCCCTTCCAATAGACTGCTCCTACGATGAGCTCTGATTTATAATTGATGCCCTTTAGAGTTATTACTGATGACTTTAAGAGTTAAATTTTTATGAAGATACTTAACTTGACAGCTGGTTTGTAGAGAAAACAAATTGGATGAGGAATAACAGATTCTGCTCAAATTAACATTGTTCTCCTGTAAAATGATAATTCAGCATTTGTGTTACTTTTCTTGTGCAATTTTGTAGAGGATCACTTTTCTTGTGCATCAACAACACATGGATTTCAAGTGAATTGAAAGTAATGACTTTCACACAAACTTTTGGGTAGATACTTAGTACTCTGAACATTGATAAAACACATAAAGACTTTTAAATGTGTGACAATTGTTCTCATTTGACGGAAGTTATTTAATATCTTCTAATACAAAAAAGTATCAATGTTATTGGCCCAATCACAGAACAAAACTGAGAAAGACCACCTATTTAACAAATTTAAAAATATTTTTATTTTATTATTTTTTTTATTTAGAATCAGTCAGTTTTCTGATTTGGGTTTTCTCTTTTTATTGAAAACTATCTGAAAAGTTTTGCTCTAGAAAATGTTTTAGGGAAAACATGCATGGGTAAGTATGCTGTACTGGCGTAAGAAAATAAACAAGCATAAACAACGATAAAAAATGTTCAGGTTTATTTAAAATATAATTGTCATAAACGTGGACACTACCATTGCATAAGGAACACCATGCATACTACTGTCGTAATTAAAATGTTTCCATTGACAGGAGCCTAAAAAATGTATTATTTTCAAGATTTTGAAAGTTTTATTTAGAAGGAACTTTTGCTAATGTTTTTGCCGACAGTCCCTTGGACAGCATGAGCATTATTTCATGGAAAATTCAAAGACCTTCTTTCTTCCCTGAAACATTCAGGACATTAATTTAAATTTCAGTATGATAGATTGATAAGCTAAATGAAAAAGAAGAAAGTAAATAGCAAATCTCTTAACAAATAATTAAATATGTTTGCACTAATACCATGCTCTCTATCATATTTAACTGCTATTTGTGTCATTTCCTCACTAAAAACAAATTAGAACCAGAAATTCTGGATGATTTCATTTTTCTCAGGCTTCTAGCTAGTATTCCTCTATATGCCACAAGCTTTATATACAAACTGAGGATTTTTTCCCTTAGAAAATCCATTCCTCTGAGTGGGCTTGAATTTACACACTCTAGTTTAGGAAGCCAGTGTATATTACATTGAGTAACTAACTGTTTATAGAAAATGCAAAGTTTTGATGGTACCTACAATCGCTTTTTTTGTATTGTATTTGTGTTCACTACTGGGGCTAGGTTGCCCCTATTTTGACAAACCGACTTTGTTCATTTTTTAACAATTTTAATAATTCCAGAACAAATAATGATTTAAATTGTTTTCAGCTCCTTGTAACTTAAATAAATGAAAAGATGTGTCATATGAACTATCTACATGTATCATGGAACAATATGTAAACATTAATACTAAAACCAGCACTTAATCAGATGGGACAGATAAATTCATGTGTTTCAATAACAATTGGTTAAATGTACCAACTTGTTAAAATTCATATGAATTTTTTTCAATTATTCCATTAACTTTTTATATGGCTCTCCAAAGTTCAAGACCCTGATTAAGAATTTCTACAGCCATGTAGATTTTAAAGTTTCTCAATACTTTTTTGCCTTACTACACTAAAAATGTTTTACAATTTTTTTTTCTTTTTCAGTTCCTAAAATATATTGCAATTGAATAACTTTATTTTCAGAGAAGATAACTATCATATTATAAAATATTTGCAATGCAAGAGTATACTTTTGGAATCTGCTTTGCTTTTTCCTTTCACAAAATATTTAATAAACATGAAATCAATGCTTCAGCACTCGCTCTTTGCAGTAAGCTATAGATAAAGTTGTTTATTCTACTATTGCTTCCTTATGCAAGAATTATAGAAGCTGCTTCATTTACTAATTTATGAATGGTTTGGAATGTCCATGGAAAATTACATAAATGAAAAAGTCAGTTTCATTAAGATTCAGTAGTATCAAGGTGTCCTTGAAGAGAAGGCAGAGGCTTAAATCAATTCAAGAAAACTTATTCTGCATTTGTTACAACCAAAGAAAAAAGAAATCAACCAAATTGAATATATTCATTGTTGTAAATGACATAATAGTATGAAAATATGAAAGATGGAATATTAAATCATTTCTGCAGCATCTTTTCTTATCTTTTTGGTAGTTTTGTTGATGAAGTTCTTTAAGAATTGGTTTTATTTGAACATTCTTTGGGGTTTCACTGCAGTTTAAGTATCATTTTAAATTTCTATTCTTAGTACTTTTCTTCATAGAGTGCTGATCTTGCTTTTTTCGTATCTAGAGTCAAAGATAACAGATTTGAAAAATTCTATAATTCATACTAGCACTCAATTTTAATTATAGTTCTCGAAAACATAGAGTATAAAACATAAAGTAATAAAGTATTTGTTATACTTGGATAATCAATTATTTTCAGGCACTTAAAACAGATTCTTTCAGAGAGAAATAATTCAATTTCTGCTTAAAAATTGAAGCTCCTGTATTCATTTAAATCTTTGGCTTCTATAACAGGAGATTCCAATTCAATTTACTACTTCTGTAATCTGAAATAACCTTACATTCTAAGAAAACATTAAGGCCTATACATTTTTTTGTATTTGAAAAACACAAAAAGACTTATTATTAAAAGAATGTAAAGCTATTATTCCTAGATAAACAATGAGAGTCTTTATGTATTATTTCGTAATGTGAATGCTACGATACATTTCATTGGATGGCTTTACGCATGGTATGACAGATTTATGATATCAAGACATTTTTACCATTTATTCAATTCCAGTGAAAATAAATAACAATCTGTGGAGTAGAATTTATGTAGTTGGAGAAGCTGTCACAGTTTAAACTGGTACTTGTAGTTTGAAAAAACAACCATGTAGATTAAAAATTTATTTTATTTAAATAAATATTTTTAATATAATCTAAATAACCTTAATTCTTATAAATAAAATTCTTTTTAGTATAAAGAATTAACCAAAATAGTGGTATGTTGTTTTTAAATCTAGATTTTCTCATTTGAATTCCTTCTAAATTTGACTTGCACAAATTCTTCAGTGTATAATAATATTTTCCTATTGTGTTCTTGATTTATTGACTTTACTTGATGTTGCAATAACTACTGCCATTCAGAATTTTCTCAGGGTTATTATATACTGATTTTCAAACTGCCTTGTTCATTGTTAAATAATATAAATAAATAACTCTTATGTGTTTTCTCTTTTCTTTCATCATATTATAATAACTTATGTCTGTAATAATTTCACAACCCACTTTTAAGTTAAATTTCTATATAATGCCACTTTTCTGCATATAAAATAAAAATAACTAAATGTAAAACTAAAGGAATGTAATTTCCCCAATTTCCAATCAAAAACTGATTTGTTGTTGATATGTTTCATTAAGCTGTATTTTGTTGCATATTCATCAAGTCTCTCTTTCAAGTCCACTCATGTGCACTAAGCCCTCTTAATTCATCCTGTATCTATTTTAAAGATTATACAGGACTGTTTTTGCAATATGAAAACTTTTATAAAACTTAGTTCAGTATCTTCCTAAAAAACTTTATTTATTGACATGTTTGAAGAGGCAGTTTTCAATTATAATTAAATAAAATATTTATAGATAAGTTAGGAAGATTCAAATCTGTTTGTATGTCATGTATTTATACACATGAGAAAGCCTACATAGATTTACTCATTTCAATTATTTGATAAATAAAATATTACCACTAAATAATTCATTAATTATCCTTAAATTATATTTATAATATTTATATTCCAAATTAAGTTGATAATCAAAAATATATATTTTTTAGAAATATTCAAAATATAATTGAAAATATCTTTATTTTTTTTATTATGACATCAAAGTCACTTTTTTGAAGTTGAATCCATGCCTTTCTTTCATATCTATATGGCTGTTTTCCTCAAAATAAGTACCAATTGAATAGAAAAAGTTACTGATATGAATGTTTTTGTTTTTATATTGCAGCATCCCATGTACATGATGGCATCTATTGTTTATCTTGTGTTTGGACTTGCTCTCACTTCAATGTGCATCAATGTTGTGCAGGTTGGTACAAAGCTTGTTTTTAATTGAAATTATCATTGTTCACACATTTTCATTTGCCACACATTTAACATTTTGTTATAAAAGTTTACCTTGCATTGATTTCACATGATTCTTCCTTGGATTCAAGGGTAATTTGGGAGCCTTAGAATACCCAAATTATTTTTTTTTAAATCTGTCGTTACGTGTGCCATTTTTCAATATTTTTTTTACTAAATCGTTAAAGAAAATTACATACTTTTGAATCCTCCAACTGCACAGCCATCATCAATACTGATCCATAATTTGGAGGATAACATTAAAATTTAATTCCTAATTAATAAATAAATAATTCATAAAATGTTTTGATTTTAGGAAAAGCTTTCAGACAGCTTCCGCCAGGCAAGTGCTAAAATTGGGGCAACAATTGGTTTGCGTGTTGCTGAGGAGGAAGGAAACCTCTCCCCTGTAGAGCAACCGAGTTCTCAGCCACAAGAAGCAGAAATAGTACCAGCGATGACCAAATCAGCTTCTACATGACTTCACTGCCACAACATCAATTTTAAACAGCAGTCTATTTTCAGAATAATCTCCAATAATGTAGTCAATTGTTTCAATGTATGTGATTGCAGTTTTCTTCTCTTTTGAAATCAGTGTTTCAATGTGTAAATTAATTACTGGAAATAAGAGAAAAAATACAAATGAATTTTTTGATATTGTTCTTGATTAAACAAAATTACCATTAACTGAACATAATGAGATATTGTCAGTAAACCCAATGATTGTTCTGAAGAAACTCTTCTGATTACAATTTAACTTCTCAAATTTAAAAAACAAATGTTACAATTATTTCTGTAACTCTTAAAAGTTAGTAGGAAGGGAGGAGCTACCAAAGTGCTTAAGTTTAGATTTATACATGCTAGTAAATTCAATGATGCACAAAAAATGCTGAAACATCCCGTATATGTTATTTTCTTTTTCTGTGCTTTGTTAAAGTGAACTTGAATTCATTACTAGCATTATTCTAAACCGTCCAATGTGCTAGTAAGAATAAACAATGAGCAGAAAATACATGAATGTGGAATAAACTTGAGCTTCTCTATCACCGTATTTAATTTTGTCATGCTCAAATTTCAAGCTTTAATATGTATATAAAAATTTGTTTTCAGAAAATGAATTCTTCACATAATTGAGAAATTTCACCTCTGAAAATACAAAGATTTTTGAATAGTGTCAATAACAACTTGTCACGTCTCATGTATGTAAACAGAATATGTTTCATTAATGTTTGTTGGTTGTTTCTCCGAAACAGGGTCTCACCAATGGGGTTGTTTCTCCCATACATTGTTGTTTGTTATTGCTCAGGAAACTTGGAATTCTTCCTTTTGTTAGTGGGCATTCTTGTGAATTATGATTGAAAATAGCCTAGTTTTAATCTTTTGTATTATTGAATGTCTCAATGCAAGTAATTACCCATGACAAAACTTATCTGAAAAGAATAAACAGCTGGAAGGTGTTTTTACACCTTAAACAAAGTGCCACTGAAATCACGAAGACAATAACAGTGATTTATAAGTATCCTAATGTAATACTTGAAATAAGAGGACAATTATTGAAACACCTTGTTTTTCTCCATGACAATGCATTTTGAATTACTTTACTGATCTGAGTATTTTGTAAAGTGCAGTAAATACAGCCCACTTAGGATGAAGATTTCTTTCATATTATATCTTTAATTATTTACTTGCTTGCTCATTTTGTAAATTCACCATGCATGTTTTTCAGAATACCGTTATAAATTACCATTTGTCATAATACCATTATGAATTCCAATAACAACTTTTCATAATATTTATGAATTAATATACATTTGTCTCTACAACCTTCACCATTAGCTAAGAACATATGGGATGATTTGCATATTTATTTTCTCCACTTAATAATTCAGCTTTTCTCAAACTGATATGCAATGTAAAATTTGACTTTAGAAAATATTGTAAAATGAAAATTGCAATACAAATACATTAAATTGTTAAATTAAAATTTGGGTTTTCATTGAATATGACAAATCTGTTGTACTTGTATGCTGCAAGTCATTGAATGGAGAGACAGATAAGTCACTTTTGACAAATTTAAAAAATTCTGTTGTCACAAAAAGGAAGGGAAATATAACTTCACAACTGACTAGAATGGGGAAAAGTTATTAATAATTTGTGACTAAATGCCTGTCTATAATTCATCAATATGAGGTGAATAATTTGTTATATTCAACAAATGTAATAAATAAATATGGTATTGACAATGAGTATTATAACAAATATGAAACATGGATTGATCCATATTTTGTACATTAAACATTAACGAAAGAATTGCTATAATTTTTTAAAATCAAAATATAGCTTTGTGCTACTAAAAAGTGTTTTACTTTGCTGTAGGTTACATTTCAACCATTCAAGCAGGAAGATCACAAACAGCAGACAATTTTTTTTTTCTAGGGTATTAAACGTTAATCTGAATACATTCTTCATTACCAAATATTAAACATTGAGCTGTAAATATATAACTGAAAATACTTAAGTAAAATATTTTGAAAACATTTCTTGTTTTCTTTTTCTTTTTCATTGCCAGAAACATTTCTCAAAACTTTGATATTGCACAAGCTTCAGAACATATAGAATGTTTGAAGACACATATAGGAATATTTTGGAGCATTATAATAAAATAATGTATGTATACTCAAATGTTGTTGCTCTTATTAATTAAATAAATTCAATATTTAAAATTATTGATGTTGGTTGGACCAATTAGAAATTAACTATGAGTTGTATAAAAAAATAACTGTAAGAGAAAAGAAAAATGTCTATCTCATTCCAATTAATTCCATTTATGTGCCTAGGTAATAGTAACAATATGTGGAGAAACATTTACCTGTTGCTGTTTACCCTGAAGCTGTGTCAATGTAAGACTGAAGACTGCTGGACTTGAGGTGAAATGTTTACTGTGTAATGAGATATTTTCATGTCAGTGAATATTTTAGAACAGTAGGCACAGGAATTCACAATAACATTGCAGATATAATTATTTTGCTATTATATAATATGTGATTGTCTTTAAAATGTTTTGTCACAATTTTGCCAAATAAATGAATAAACAAAATATCTTCATTGCATTTTTTAAATTTTATTCTTAAGAAAAATATTCATTTTAAATTCATTATTCTTCTTCTACTGCCTGTGGTTTCATTTTGTCATTCAAGTTTTAATATCTTCTTACAGTGTCAGACTGAAGATAGAATTCATCCAAATGTTTTCCTTGCATCTGGCCACAAAAACCATATAGAGGAAAAAATAAAACTTTAAGAGATTGAATTAATATATTAAGTCACAATATTTCATTGAAATTTGAATTAGAAGCATCAAATAGTAAAACATTGGCAGCTGAAACCTCCCAAAGTTTGGGGTTGCAGCAATTTCGAATGCAGAAAATTTAATTTAAACAATTGCATTACATAATGTTCTGTTATACTAGGAGTTTCTACTAATGCTAACCAGAAATATATTTATATATTCATTTATTTATTCATGTCAAAACAGTTAAAAACTGTGTGTGACATGCTATGGGGAGATGTTAATTTGAAGTTACATTTATATATTTATGGGTTTCAGAAGTTTCATGATTCTTTGATCTTTCTATTATGTTGTTTAAATTATTTTAACATAATAAAAAGAAGAGATTCATTACACAATTCATTATGCTTTAAAAACACACTTTACCCATGTATTGTCTCTTTCAAATAATATCACAGAAAAGCAAAACTAATCTACCTTCGAATCACACCCCCATCACTACCTTCATTCGCCATAAAAAGCACACTTATATGATTAAAATTAATTTATTTAACATTCATTACTTTTTGAATAAAATTTTGAGAACTAGGAATATACCTTCAGGGGCCCTTTTCTCCAGTTTAATAGGGAATGAACTCAAAGGAATTTGATTAAATTTTACACTGAATTTATTGTACAATTCTGAAGAAATCAATATTGAACCTCGTATCTTCAGGATTTTCATAAGGATGGAATCACACAAAAAATATACAAAACACGCACAATACTGAAAGATATTCTTACTTCATTGAGGAAGCATATTAGTTCATGACAACCAAATTAACAACAGTAAAAAAATTCACAAAAAAATAATTCTAGCGGAATTCTCACACAAACTCAAATGTGTCTCTAACTCTTAACTCAAACTCTATATACAAAATCACTTTAAGGATAGACACAGAGGGAACTGCATGCAATTGCACCCAGATTTCTATCAGAAAAATTCATCCAAGGTGGAAGAATTCACACACAAAAACTACACTCCAAATTCACATCTGGAATAAATCTTATACCACAGAAAATAAATTCACCAAACATCCTGAGTGTTGCTGAATTGCAAGTAGAGAGCCTGGCTTTTTCAACCTCTGTCTCGGTAATTTCATTGTGTGTGGGCGCAGGGTGGGGTGGGGGGTTGGGCGGCAAAGAGTTTGTGATCCCTCTGAACAACTGGAGTCCACGAGAGCGACATTACTTCTTTGGCGTTCTTTTTCTTCCTCACCTTCTGAAAAGTTGTAGAGGAACTCTCATGGTGCTCCTCGCCAACAGCAGAGTCATCCTGACTACTGCTGGAGATGGTCGCTTGTGCCGGGGGTATTTACAGGACTTTTTGCAACAGGCGACCGAGATCTACATGGGCTGGAGAATCGCTCAACGCGAGTCTCGGAAGTAGGAGGACGGGACTTCGATAAACAATTTCTGTTCAGAAGCGATATCTGACTGGAATCTATTTCCTTTAGGGGCTCAGAAGAAGTAATTTGTGGCTAGTGGAGTTTTTGGCTTGTTTTTTTTAACTTCGTTGGAATTATTACCTTTCCACCTTGAATGCACGCCTTATCTTCAGGGAAGTCTATAGGCGATATCTAACAAGTGAAGTGCATTGCTAGAGTAGGAGCGCTTTGTGTTTGACAGCTTGCTGTTACTCCTGAGGACTTGGTCTTTTGGAGAAGGATCGTGTCAGGTCTACTGGATTTCTAGTCTGGTGCCGGCGTTTGGCCTCAGGGAAGGAAACCTTTTCGGCGACTCTTTAACTTCTGAATCTCTCTTTCCCGGAGAAAAGTAGGGTACTGGTCGTAGTTGGCTGGATGGTTACCTTCACAATTGACACAGTGCGGTGGTGTAGCACGCGGATGTGAATAGGGCACTGATGCACCGCACTTGCCGCTCATTGGGCTTACCGATATTTATCGTTGCTGGATATGCTCAAACCTTTGACACTTAAAACAGCGCAAAGGATTTGGTACTTACTGTCGCACATGGAGGTTGTAGAAACCACAACTGATCCTTTCCGGGAGGGACGGACGGTCAAACGTAAGAATCAGTGTTGAAGTAGGGATCACTTTCCCCTGCTCTTTCCTTTTAATCATATACACTCCAGTCACGCCGTGACTCTTGAAAAAAGTAATTAGTTCTTCATTTAGAAACAAAGTCATCTAGGCTCACCACGCCTTTACACAGGATCAATGTTGGGTGCGTCGTCACTACCACCTGGAAGCCGGCAATTTGCTTGGTAATTTCTCTATCTGCTCGTCTGAAGGTGTTTTCAAAGAGAAACATTCCATTCCTCTGTCGCACGAACCGCTTTGAGCTTCCCGTATTCTTCCCCTATGGGTCGTGCCAAACGGACAGCGCTTTAGTTTTCAAACAGCTTTTCTTCCTCGGCGCATGCCGTGAGGAGAAACAAGGCTTTTTCGGTCTGTTATATTTTGAAAATAAACCGCTTAAATCAATAGTTCGTTCCAGATATCTCCTCTTCCTTGCGGAAGAGGGCGGAGGAGAAGGTTTAGTATCTATGGAGATGAATATAAGATTCATCCCCGTGGTCCCCACCCACCAAGGAGCGCAACTTGGGGACACTCCATCGGAGAGCCAGGGTTGTCACGGACGTACAGTGGGAGATGACACTGCGCTGACCCGCCGTGGATCCCCCGCTCACTCTGGAGTTCAGTGCAATACCTAGTCCGGACCGATTGATTGGAAGTGGGTTAGCTCCCGACTGTTCGTCTACAAGAGTCCGAGACCAAAGCAAATGTTGTGAAAACCTACAAGGAATGATCCTCAAAATACGTATCCCTAGGTGCAAAGAAGTAGCACAAGGTGTAGTGGGGAAACAAACAGGTCCCTCAACTGACAGGACACATATTCCCTCCGACATGGGTCGCCATGCACGGCAAACACATGGGTGGGCGTTTAGCATACTGAAGGGCAGTAAAATAGAAGGGGTAGAAGAAATGAGTCAGGATGTTATAAAAGAAACAGAATGAACGATGAGGGAAGATAAAGACGATTGGTGAGAGAAAGGAATACTTGAGCATCCTCCCTGCATCCCCCATCAAGACGTGGACCGACCCATCTCGACGGGCTAAGTAACTCGAGACTGCATGCGCGACCCACATTTAACCATACAACCTGGCACCGAGCCTAGTGACAAGCTGCACTGCGTGTCAAATTCATCAAAACTCTCGGACCGAATGCGCGCCCTGCAAGAAACGAGAGAGAGAATGAACGCAGTATTCGACCACTTTTTTATACTTCGGTTTTTATAACGTGATGCAAAACCCGTCTTCATTATGGAATATGACGCGGCATTTCGCGTCTTTCTCGATCGTGCCGCTAGATTTCGACTGATTTCGACCGTATAAAGTAGTGCTTGTACTTCCTTTTTTATTTTTATGCTAATTTAATTTTCTGTGTGAATAATATTTAAAATATAAAATAAGATTTGTTTAAATAACATGTACAAACGTCATTATATTACAATAAAAACTTTAAAATCATATTTTATTCAATTTCAATTCTAATTCAAAGTATAAAAGAAGTTTATAAGTGGATTAACTGGATTTTTTACACTACAAAACATCATTTTGCTATTTTTATTGCATGTTTTTGCACGTTTTGGTGCTTTTACTGCATGTTTTAAAGAGTTTTAATGCACAAAAATTCGGTCTTTACTTATTACAAACAAACTCAGAAATGAATACAGCCAATTAACAAATGCTCGAAATGCATCTATTGTCTTATAAAAATGCTGGAGTGATTGTAAATTTTCCCAACAACCAGATCGCCTTTATTAAATCAATTGTGTCAATTGAATACATGTATCTTCAATCCTCAAACTGCAGCAATTCAACAACTCATAAATTTAAAATTACCAAAATCAACCTTCGTTCTTTTTCCTTTTCAGATATTTCTTCAACTTCTTTCGACAGATAATATTGCCCGGAAAGAAAATGGTGTAAAAGCATATCCCAGTCCAGTGTAAAATTTACTATTAAACTCCACCCTGAAAATGGAAATTATATTTTATTATACGAGGAATCAAAGTGAGCTTTTCATTGCGAGACGTAAAAATAAATTGACGAGGCGTTAAGGTCCAAACATGATAAGACATGGGTGAGCTATTACATAGTCTATCCAACTTCAGTCGATGAGCTTCATGCAAGGTTATGCGTCACAATATTAGCGGTAATTTTAAATGCAGCCAGTTATCAAAATTATCACGTTGTTACGACTGATTGAAAACAGTTATAAAAATATGA